TGCCCCTTCTTCTTTGCCCTTCTTTTTCTTCGCCCCTCCATCTTCTTCGCCCATTCTTCTTCTACTTTGCCCTTCTTCTTTGCCCTTCTTCTTTGCCCTTCTTCTTTGCCCTTTCTTCTTCACCCCTTCTTCCTTGCCCTTCTTCTTTGCTCTTCTTCGCCCCTTCTTCCTCGCCCTTCTACTTACTCTTCTTCTTCTTACTTCTTCCTTGCCCCTTCTTTATCGCCCTTGTTCTTCGCCCTTCTTTTGCTATGCCCCTTCTTCTTTGCCCTTCTTCTCCTTCGCCCTTCTTCCTCACCCTTCTTCTTCCTCGCCCTTCTTCCTCGCCCTTCTTCTTTGCCGTCTTCTTCCTCGCCGTTTTCTTCTTTGCCCTTCTTCCTCGCCTTTCTTCTTCCTCGCCCTTCTTCTTCCTCGCCCTTTTTCTTCTTCTTTGCCGTTTTCTTCTTTGCCCATCTTCTTCTTCTTCTTTGCCCATCTTCTATGCCGTCTTCTTCTTTGCCCTTCTTCTTCTTTGCCCTTCTTCTTTGCCCTTCTTTTTCTTCGCCCTTCTTCACTCCTACTTCTTCGCCCCTTCTTCGTCCCTTCTTATTCGTCCCTTCTTCTTTGTCCTTCTTCGCCCATTATTCTTCTTTGCCCTTTTTCTTCGTCCTTCTTCGCTCCTACTTCTTCACCCCTTCTTTGTCCTTCTTCGCCCTTTGCCCTTCTTCCTCGCCTTCTTCGCCCATTACTCTTCTTTGCCCTTCTTTTTCTTTGCCCTTCGTCGCTCCTTCTTCACTCCTACTTCTCCGCCCCTTCTTCGTTCCTTCTTCTTATTCGTCCCTTCTTCTTTGCCCTTCTTCTTTGCCCGTCTTCTTCTTCTTTGCTCTTCTTCGCCCGTCTTCTTCTTTGCCCTTCTTTTTTGCCCTTCTTCCTCTTCGCCCTTCTTCTTTGCCCGTCTTCTTCTTCTTCTTCTTTGCCCGTCTTCTTTGCCCTTCTTTTTCTTTGCCCTTCGTCGCTCCTACTTCTTCGCCCCTTCTTCGTTCCTTCTTATTCATCCCTTCTTCTTTGTCCTTCTTCGCCCTTTGCCCTCCTTCGCCCATTATTCTTCTCTGCCCTTCTTCGCACTTCTTTTTCTTTGCCCATCTTCTTCTTTGCCCTTCTATGCCCGTCTTCTTCTTTGCCCTTCTTATTCTTTGCCCTTTTTATTCTTTGCCCTTCTTCTTCTTCGCCCCTTCTTATTCGTCCCTTCTTCTTTGTCCTTCTTCGCCCTTTGCCCTTCTTCTTCCTCACCCTTCTTCTTTGCCCTTTTTTTTCTTCGTCCTTCTTCGCTCCTACTTCTTCACCCCTTCTTTGTCCTTCTTCGCCCTTCTTCTTCCTCGCCTTCTTCGCCCATTATTCTTCTTTGCCCTTTGACGCTCCTACTTCTTTGCCCCTTCTTCGTTCCTTCTTCTTAATCGTCCCTTCTTCTTCGCCCTTCTTCGCCCTTTTTTTTCTTTGCCCGTCTTCTTCCTCGCCCTTCTTCTTTGCCCGTCTTCTTCTTTGCCGTCTTCTTCTTTGCCGTCTTTTCTTTGCCGTCTTTTCTTTGCCCGTCTTCTTCTTCTCTGCCCTTCTTCTTTGCCCTTCTTCCTCTTCTTTGCCCTTCTTTGCCCGTCTTCTTCTTCTTTGCTCTTCTTCTCTGCCCTTCTTCTTTGCCCTTCTTCCTCTTCTTTGCCCTTCTTTGCCCGTCTTCTTCTTCTTTGCTCTTCTTCTCTGCCCTTCTTCTTTGCCCTTCTTCCTCTTCTTTGCCCTTCTTTGCCCGTCTTCTTCTTCTTTGCCCTTTGTCGCTCCTTCTTCTTCGCTCCTACTTCTTCGCCCCTTCTTATTCGTCCCGTCTTCTTTGTCCTTCGCCCTTTGCCCTCCTTCTTCGCCCATTATTCTTCTCTGCCCTTCTTCGCACTTCTTTTTCTTTGCCCTTCTTTGCCCGTCTTCTTCGCCCTTCTTCTTCGCCCTTCTTTTGCTACGCCCCTTCTTCTTTGCCCTTCTCCTTCGCCCCTTCTTCGCCCTTCTTCCTTGCCCTTCTTCTTTGCCCTTCTTTGCCCGGCTTCTTCTTTGCCCTTCTTGTTCTTCGCCCTTCTTCTTCCTTGCCCGTCTTCTTCCGCCTTTCTTCGCCCATTATTCTTCTGTGCCCTTCTTCTTTGCCCTTCTTCGTTGCCCTTTTTTGCTACGCCCCTACTTCTTCGCCCTTCTTCTTTGCCCGTCTTCTTCTTTGCCCGTCTTCTTCTTCTTTGCCCGTCTTCTTCTTCTTCTTTGCCCTTCTTCTTTTCCCGTCTTCTTCTATACCCGTCTTCTATGCCCTTCTATGCCCATCTTCTTCTATGCCCATCTTCTATGCCCTTCTTCTTCTATGCCCTTCTTCTTCTATGCCCTTCTTCGCCCCTTCACCCTTTGCCCTTCTTCCTCGCCTTTCTTCTTCGCCCATTCTACTTCTTCGCTCATTGTTCTTCTTTGCCCTTCTTCTTTGCCCTTTTCTTCGCCTTTCTTCTTCTTTGCCCTTCTTCTACCTCTTCTTTGCCCTTTTTCTTCCTCTTCTTTGCCCTTCTTTGCCCTCTTCTTCTTCTTTGCCCTTCTTTGCCCCTTCATCCTCTTCTTCTTTGCCCTTCTTCCTCTTTGCCCTTCTTATTCTTCTTTGCCCTTCTTCCTCTTCTTTGCCCTTCTTCTTCGCCCTTCTTTGCTCGTCTTCGCCCTTCTTCTCGTTCCTCGCTCTTCTTCTTCCTCGCCCTTCTCCGCTCCTACTTCTTCGTTCCTTTTTCTTATTCGTCCTTTCTTCTTCTTTGCCCTTCTTTTTCTTCCTCGCCCTTCTTTGCCCTTCTTTCTCACCCTTCTTCTTTGCCCGTCTTCTTCTTTGCCCTCTTCTTCGCCGTCTTTTCTTTGCCCGTCTTCTTCTTCTTTGCTCTTCTTCTTTGCCCTTCTTCTTCGCTCCTACTTCTTCGCCCCCTACTTCTTCGCCCCTTCTTCGTTCCTTCTTATTCGTCCCTTCTTCTTTGCCCTTCTTCTTCGCTCCTACTTCTTCGCCCCCTACTTCTTCGCCCCTTCTTCGTTCCTTCTTCTTCCTC